GGGGTTGTTTTGATTTGTTTGTTTCTTTGTTTGTTTTGTTTATTGTGTTTGTTTGTTTGTTTGTTTCGGGGGTTCGAGCCTCAGGCCCGAGGTTGCATCCATGGGAAAGACACTTTACACGTCACACGAACTTCTTCATAATTTCACCAAAGTGAGAATGGGTACCCGGCCATAGAGGCTTCAATAACCTAATAGTGTTGATAGGGGCGTTAAACCCATACCATTTCACCATTTTCACCCGGCCATAGAGAGCGTAAGATCTCGTCAGTATGTTCGTGTTTTAGCGCCTCTTTACTTTAAAAAAAATGGCAGCTTGCACTGCATGCTTCACAGAACGTTGAAACTGTTTCAGGATGACATCAGGTCTGTTGGGGTAATAAAATATGTACCATAGATTGTCAAGTGCACAGAGCTTGCTGTGAACGGGCCGGGGATTTTCGCTATACAAATGGTCGCTTTAAGCAGATGGGGGGGGGGGGGTCCCGAAAAATGCTGTTTTGAGAAAATGGTAGGTAACGTTTTTGCTCCGAATTTAGCGTCCTTCTCAGATAGGACCAAGCAAAATTGGTCGCTTTTAAGCACAAGCGGGCTATCCCGAAAAATGATGTTTTGAGAGAATGGAAGGTAGGCCTAAAGTTTTTGCCCCTTGTTCAGTTTCTTTAAAAGACAAGGAGAGTTTTCCCTACAATCGAACAAATATATACACACCAATGAAACCAAACTTCTCCTATAGGTAGGGCAATTACCACTTAAAGTGTAAGTCAAGATTTCAGGAAATCCCCGAAAAAATCTGGGTTAGCCCGCTTGTCCTTACAATTAAAAGCGTCCAAATATTCTCTGTCTTATTAATTGTTATTCTCTCTCTTATTAATTGTTAGTTTGCTGGTGTGTTTGTTGCCCTGTGGATGTAAGCAGGGCGTATGTGAACCACCGTGGAAAGTTCCCGCGGCTGACGGTATCTGAAATCTGATCCCAGGAGGCCAGGTCGGCAGACGGGAGTCAGGAGTCGGTAGTTGGGAGTCAGGAGAGATAGCGGGCGGACTTCGGACTGGTGATTTGACGACGTTTGAAACGGTGAACGACAGAACCGGGTCAGGGGAGGGAGAGAGAGAGAGAGAGA